CCAAGCTGTTGTGAGAATCTTGATACAGGTGTTGTTTGTAAGATTATGTTAAGGGTTGGCTTTCTGAAGCTGATTTTAGCGATATCTAGGCTGATCCATGGTGTATTTGTTTAGAATATTTTCCTTCAAAAGTTGAACTAATGAAATAATGAGATTCTTGAAAAAACAGTTTCAGTGATAAGCAGGCTCACTGGAAGCAAATTTAAGGGAACGTCGTTTGACTTTCTAGTACTTCCTAGCGTTAAGTCACTATTTCATGGGGAAGGGAGCAGCATGCCAGCTATGTGCAAATCCTGGGTTTTGTCTGTTAGTTCACACTGCCTGGCACATAGTAGGTGCTCACTAAAAATCCATGGAATAAAGTGATAAAGGGGGGTAAGAATCTCAACGAGTAATAAAATCTGCCAAATATAGTCACAAAAATTAGGCGGAAAACAACCAAGACCCAGCTATCTAAGCAGTTCCCGCCCCTGCTGCTGACAGTCATGGACTGGCCATGCAGCGCGGGGCCTGACAGGGAGCGACTTGCCCAAGGTCACATACCAGGTTAATAACAAAGCAGGAGCCAAAATCCAGGCTCCCCGAATCCTAACAATCTTCACCACACCGCTGGTGCACAAACTCACATACGTGAAAAGGCCAACAAGGGTATCCATTTAGCTGACATAATGCCAAACTCATGACATTTATAGAGCAAAGTTGCTGTAAGTTGCAGCACCTGCACTGGCCTCAGTGAGTTTACACAAGGTGCTGGCCAGACTCTTCTCGTGTGGCGCCTGAGGGAGGAAGCAAGCTGCTGACTCTCCTCCTGCCCTTTCTGATGAGCACAGTGCGCGCCTCAGCATATCACAGCATGCAGGACCAGGCGGGCCGGCAGCAGCCACGAGGCAAGGCTGCAGGCTGCTGGATGTGGGGGTCACTTAGGGCGATGGGGAAAGCTGAGTATCAAAGCTCCTCTCGCAGAGACTGTGGGCAGTGATAGAAGAGATGGTTTGAAAGCCACTCAACATCCCCACGCCCCTCCCGCCCCCTTCTCACGAAAGAGCAGAGTTAAGACACAATGGATGGTTTCAAAGTACTTCTCAGTCTAAGGAAGTGAGACTTGGTCACCTGGGTGGTGACTTCAGCAAGAGGGTGGATCTGGGGCAACCGGCAACAAAGCTGAATGGCTGGTGATAGTCAAGGAGAAATTAAGTGCAGCCACCAGGGTGCCTCCTGCCCGCTTTTCATAGCTCATGCCTCCAAGTGGTGCTGACAACATTGTAAGGAATCACTCTTCACAGGGGCACTAAATTCATCCTCCCCGGGTGCCTTGGCCCAGCCCTGCCATCACACAGTCTGACTAACCAAACCAGCATGGGTGCTGGAGTGTGGTCCAGTCCTGAAGCAGAGGAAGAATGAGTCCCATCCTGAGGCCCTTCACAGCTGACAATTCTAGGCCAACTGATGGAAAACGCTACCAAAGAATTCTAATACTGCTTGTAAAAAAAGAAGAAGGAAAGGAAAGGAAAGGAAAGGAAAGAA